AGGGAGGGAGGAAGGAAGGAAGGAAGGAAGGAAGGAAGGAAGGAAGGAAGGAAGGAAGGAAGGAAGGAAGGAAGGAAGGAAGGAAAAGAAAGAAAAAAAACAGACTAAGGGTTAAAATGGCTAAGGATAAAAGACTGCCATTGGCAAAAGGATAATGTAAATATTTAAATTCTGTGAAAGAGTTCATTCCCTCATAATACTAGACTAGAGTCACTTGAGACTATTCATTAGTACATTAGTTTTTTTTTTCTTTTTTCATATATACATATTTTTTTATTGATTTCAGACAGGAAAGGAGAGAGAAACATCAGTGATGAGAGAGAATCATTGATCGGCTGCATGCCCTCTACTGGGGATCGAGCCCACAACCCGAGCATGTGCCCTTGATCAGAATCGAACCTTGGACCTTCAGTCTGCAGGCCGATGCTCTATCCACTGAACCAAACCAGCTAGGGCTTTTGGGGTTTTTTTCTATTGTAAGTACAGACAGAACTCTGATAACTCTCACAGATGAGTCATCATCAAGTATCTGTCCATGCCTAAATACTGGTTTAGCATTCAGAATTTTATTCAGTTGTGTATTCACTGTGTTTATGTGTGAAATATCTGTTGCATATAGAATGGCATTAAGTATTGCAAAGGATTTATTCATTCAGCAAACACTTATTGACTGCCTTTCATGTGCCATACACGGACTAAAACAGAGATATAAAGATGGCTACAGATTCCTGCCCTCAAAGGACTCAATTCATGTTCAACACAAAGTTGTGTTGATGGAAAGGAAAAGTACACATTTAAAAAATAAAAAAAATAAAAAACACCAGCCGGCTTGGCTCAGTGGTTGAGCGTCGACCTATGAACCAAGAGGTCATGGTTTGATTCCCAGTCAGGGCATACGCCCGGGCTGTGGGCTAAATCCCTGGTGTGCGGCTTGCAGGAGGCAGCTGATCAATGATTCTCTTTCATCATTGATGGTTCTATCTCTCTTCCTCTCCTTTCCTCTCTGAAATCAATAAAATATATCATTAAAATATATTTGAGCAGAAACCGGTTTGGCTCAGTGGATAGAGCGTCGGCCTGTGGACTGAAAGGTCCCAGGTTCGATTCCGGTCAAGGGCATGTACCTGGGTTGCGGGCACATCCCCAGTAGGAGATGTGCAGGAGGCAGCTGATCAATGTTTCTCTCTCGTCGATGTTTCTAACTCTCTATCTCTCTCCCTTCCTCTCCGTAAAAAATCAATAAAATATATAAAAAAAAATATATATATATATATATATTTGAAAAAACACATACTTGTAATACTATCATAATAGCTCCCATTTTTTAGCACATTTTTATGTGGTAGACACTATTTAAATGCTTTACCTTAACAAATGTGATTTGAGGCACCTAATTCAAATACCTCAAATTTTTACTGCATAAAGATACAATTATTCCAGTTTAATAGAATAAAAAACCAACACAGGTCTGACCAGTGTTGCTTAGTGGTTGAGAGTCAACCTATGAACCAGGAGGTCACGGTTCGACTCCCAGTCAGGGCACATGCCAAGGTTTCGAGCTCTATCCCCAGTGGAAGGTATGCAGGAGGCAGTTGATCAATGATTCTCTCTCATCATTGATGTTTCTCTCTTCCTCTTCTCAAATCAATAAAAATATTTTTTAAACTGACTCAGAAAGTGTAAGCTAAGTAACTTTTTCAAGGGCACAAAACTAGCAGATGTCACATACTCAAGTGTCAGATGTCAGATCTTCAAATCTTGTTTCTATCACAACAGGCTTCCTCCAAGGCCTATGTACAATATGTCAGGGCACAAGGAAAGAGGGATAAATTCTGCCGATGAAGGTGTAAGGTAATGAGGCTTTTCTGGAAAAGCTTCAGAAACTTAAATCATTTAATTGGATCTAAACAAGGAAAGATGTGTTTAAACACGGAGTAATAAAAGAGCATTGTGTGTGTTTGAAATCCCATGAAGAAACCACATATGAATGCATAGATGGTCAGGAAGGGAGGCCCAGGAAATGACTCGGGTAAAGACAAGCATAATCAGGTCATGAGAAGCCTTGATTGCCATGCTAACAAATTTGAGCTTTAGCCAAAAACCTGGGAATGACCAATCACTCAAAGATCTTGGGCAAGGGAGTCACATAATGCATTCTAGAAGATCACACTGGTGGAGATAGGATATGGTACTGGAGCTTAAAGGGGAGTTTAGGGTTAGAGGTTTATATTTGGGAATCAATGCGTGATAGTGCTGTAGCATGTTGGGTTAGTAAAAAAGAAAAGAGCCCTGGCCACTGTGGCTCCATGGTTAGAGCATCAGCCCCTGCACTGAAGGGTCTTGTGTTTGATTCCTGGACATGGGCATGGAACTGGTTGCAGGTTCAATCTCCAGCCCTGGTTGGGACGCATGCGGGAGGCAACCAAGTAATGTGTCTCTTTCACATTGATGTTTCTCTCTCTCTACCCCTCCCTCCCTCCTTCCCACTCTCTAATATCAATGGAGAAAATATCCTCAGGTGAGTATTAACAAAAAGAGAGAAGAGAGTCAATGATATAATGCACTGTAAACATCAATGTTTAAGAGAAGTCCAAAAAAAGTATCCAGGATGAAAACTAAATGTGAAAAGTTATCATCATATAACCTAATAAATAAACCATAGGGCCAATGTATATAGCATCATCAAAGCTATCTAGAATAATTTTTACATTTATTCATTCGTAAAATATTTAGCTCCTACTGTGTGCCATTATGCTAAGCTCTGGTGTTCAGTAGTAAACAAAACCATATGGAACTTACAGTCTCTTCTATCTATAGCAGTGGTTCTCAACCTTCCTAATGCCGCGACCCTTTAATACAGTTCCTCATGTTGTGGTGACCCCCAGCCATAAAATTATTTTCGTTACTACTTCATAACTGTAATTTTGCTACTGTTATGAATCGTAATATAAATACCTGATATGCAGGATGTATTTTCATTGTTACAAATTGAACATAATTAAAGCATAGTGATTAATCACAAAAACAATGTGTAATTATATATGTGTTTTCCGATGGTCTTTGGCGACCCCTGTGAAAGGGTCGTTTGACCCCCCAAAGGGGTCGCGACCCACAGGTTGAGAACCTCTGATCTATAGAAATATAAATAAGAATACAGTGCCTGAAGCAAGACATGTACAAGCTGAAATAGTTTTGGCTATTACTATATAAAAATGAATTTAACAGGAGACATTTGTAATAGTGTCAACAATAAAATGAAAATTTTTAAATGAATTTAAGTTAAAATTTTCTCCTTTTGTTGCATTTCTTTAAGTTTCAAAAGGATTAACTCTGTCCCTTTTTTTAAAAAAAACTGTTTTCTTTCTCTTTTTTAAGAATACTCCTGAGAATTTACATATCGTGGCTGAACGTAATCTCTTGCTTCATTTGAAAAAATTAGAAAAAGATGGAATGATATGTAAGTATACTTCTGAATTTTCTTTTACTGCCAGCATTTAAATTTTTTTTTTTTTTTACAAATGAACTAGTTCCTTTCAGGAAAAATAACACCCATTAGAGTCCTCCCTTGAATATCACTATAAGTTAAAGAGACAGGCACTAGAAAGGGTCAATAATGAAAGGCCAGTGGCCACACGTGGGAACCAAACACTCGCACAGGAATTAGAATCTTGCTTAGAGGTTCCAGACCTCACCCACCAGAATGACAGTCAAAGGCATGTAGTGGAAAATAGCTTCTCTTCTCCTAGACCACAAGATCTATGAAGAATTTTACATGTAGAAGATTTGGGAACAGCTGAAGGTTTTAGCAGTCCTAAAGGTAGTTAACTCAAAGATATTAAAGCAGGCCAAACCGGTTTGGCTCAGTGGATAGAGCGTCGGCCTGAGGACTGAAAGGTCCCAGGTTCGATTCCGGTCAAGGGCATGTACCTTGGTTGTGGGCACATCCCCAGTAGGAGGTGTGCAGGAGGCGGCTGGTCAATGTTTCTCTCTCATCGATGTTTCTAACTCTCTATCCCTCTCCCTTCCTCTCTGTAAAAAAATCAATAAAAAATATATTTAAAAAAAAAAAGATATTAAAGCAGTAATTCTACAATTGTTTATTAGTGTTAGGTTAATTTGTCAAATTAAGAATCTTTATAAAAGTTTAATCCTTAAAATCAACTGGTTCAAAGATTGAATTTTGTGTAGAAGCTTCATCATTGTTCTTAAATATACCAAAAAAAAATACCAACTTTATATTGAGCAACAAAATTATTTTAGGAATGAATGCTTTTTTTAGCCAGAAAATAATTAAAAATCCAGTGAATTTGCTTATCCACTGTTAAAATTTTACTCTTTCTTTCCACAGTTAGCAACATGGATCCTGACAAGAAATGGAAAGCTCATCTTTAGTTTCATATTAGTGAAAGTTCTGTTGTTTTGTTTTTAGAGAATGGTATGTTTTCTTAACTATTAATTATTTATGGAGATTATAGAGTATATAACATTTAAAATAACTCTGGATATACTTTAAAATAATGTCGTTTTCAAATATATAAATTATACTTTACATCTATGATATAAAATATTTATCTAACCTAGATCATGTAACATTTTACCAAATATTCAGGAACCAAGAGTTATCCACTTACAATTGATTAAGTAAAATGATTACTTTAAAAATAATAAAACTTATATAATTTAAACTGGATATTATTCTTAGAGATTGGTTACCTATTACCAGTGGCCAGTGGTACTGTGTTCTCTAGCTGCCTTAGTAATTTCTATGTAACCCTTCCTTTTCTGCAACCCTTGTCTATATCTTCAGATGATAGGTTTGTTTTCATGTTTCTATCGATTATATCATGATTATGTATTCTGTAGCCCTTTATCATGTTTACTTTCTTATAATGATACTAGAGGCCCAATGCACGAAAGCTGTGCAAGCGGCTCGGCCCTCGCAGCCACAGCAGCTTGCTTGGCCCTCACAGCCCCGGCTTCGTCTGGAAGGTCGTCCGGCTGTCCAGTCTAATTAGCATATTATGCTTTTATTATTATAGATTCCACAAGTGATTTATGTATATCAACTTTGGGTAATTAAAAAATATTATATTCCCAGCTAAAACCATTATATAATAATTATTTTTGTAATCCATGAGTATAACCAACTTACTTTCCTCGTTTAGGTTTTAGTATAGAAATAGTCATAAACATATACAGTATATGAATTATATACCAATTCTTTTATTGATTAAGGTATTACATGTGTATCCTTATACCCCCTTGCCTCCCCCCCACCTCCCACTCATCACCTCACCCCCCTGGTGTCTGTTCCTTTTTATAGCAGCGTAGTATTCCACTTATACCAATTCTTTTAATTAGAGGATTATAAGACAGTGCATTTTTATATAAGTAATGTTCTTAAGTAGTGGTTAGGTTCTCAGTGTGGCCACCAATGCTTATTTAACCCACAAGGTTATCAAACCACATTACTAAAATGAGCTCAAAATCCTGAGAATGTATTTTCTGTACTCTTTCCTAAGATAAGACTTTTAATATTTTTTAACTCCCTCTTTCTGCCCTTTTCCCCAAGACCCTAGCATTTTCATACTATTCTGAACACCTACTCTCATGCCCTAGAGCAGTGATGGCGAACCTTTTGAGCTCGGCGTGTCAGCATTTTGAAAAACCCTAACTTAACTCTGGTTCTGTGTCACATATAGAAATTTTTTGATATTTGCAACCATAGTAAAACAAAGACTTACTTTTTTGATATTTATTTTACATATTTAAATGCCATTTAACAAAGAAAAATCAACCAAAAAAATAAGTTCGCGTGTCACCTTTGACACGCGTGTCATAGGTTCGCCATCACTGCCCTAGAGACCTGTTGTGTTTCTGAAACCTTTCCATATTACAAAGTAATTGTGAACTCAACAACAAAAAACAAGCTACCCAATTCAAAATTGGGCAAAGGACTTGAATAGAAACTTCTCCAAAGAAGGTATACAAATGGCCAATAAACACATGCAAAGTTGCTCAGCATTACTAATGATTAGGGAAATGCAAATTAAAACCACAATGAGGTGCCACTTCATGCCCATTAGGATGGCTATTATTTAAAAAAAAAAGAAAGAAAAGAAAAGAAAATAGGTGTTAGGAAGGATATGGAGAAATTGGAACTCTTGTGCATTTCTGGTGGGGATGTAAAATGGTGTGGCGTCCATGGAAACAATATAGTGGTTCCTCAAAAACTTAAACATAGAACTGCCATATGATCCAGCAATTCCATTTCTGGGTATATACCCAAAAGAATTGAAAACAGGGACTGGAGCAGATATTTGTACACCCAGGTTCCTGGCAGCATCATTAATAATAGCCAAATAGCCCTAACAGGTTTGGCTCAGTGGATAGAGCATTAGCCTGCAGACTCAAGGGTCCCAGGTTCGATTCCCGTCAAGGGCATGTACCTTGGTTGTGGGCACATACCCAGTAGGGAGTGTGCAGGAGGCAGCTGATCGATGTTTCTCGCTCATCGATGTTTCTAACTCTCTATCCCTCTCCCTTCCTCTCTGTAAAAAAATCAATAAAATATATTTTTAAAAAATAAAAATAAAATAATAGCCAAATAGTGGAAGCAACCCAAGTGTCCATTGAAAGATGAGTGAATAAATAAAAATGTTGTGTATACATACACTGGAATAGTATTGAGCCTTAAAAAGGAAGGAAATTCTGACATATGCTACAACATGGATGAAACTTGAGACATTACACTAAGTCAGCGGTTCTCAACCTGTGGGTCCCGACCCCTTTGGCGGTCTAACGACCCTTTCACAGGGGTCGCCTAAGACCATCCTGCATATCAGATATTTACATTACGATTCATAACAGCAACATTACAGTTATGAAGTAGCAACGAAAACAATTTTATGGTTGGGTCACAACATGAGGAACTATTTAAAGGGCCAGAAGGTTGAGAACCACTGCACTAAGTGCTATGAGCCGATCACAAAAGGACAAATATATGATTCCACATGTATAAGGTACCCAGAGTAGTCAAATTCATAGAGACAGTAAAATGGTAGATGCCAGGGATTGGGGGAAGGGAGAAGTGGGGAATTATTGTTTAGTAGGTAAGGAATTTCAGTTTGGGAGGATGAAAAAAATTCTAGAGATAGATGGTGGTCATGATTGTACACAAACAATTGAATGTACTTAATGCCACTGAATGGTATACTTGAAATGGTTAAAATGGAAAATTGCCCTAGCCGGTTTGGCTCACTGGATAGAGCATCAGCCTGGGGACTGAAGGGTTCCAGGTTCGATTCCCATCAAGGGCATGTACCTTGGTTGCAGGCACATCCCCGGTAGGGGGTGTGCAGGAGGCAGCTGATCGATGTTTCTCTCTCATCGATGTTTCTCCCATCCAAGTACTAACCAGGCCGGAGGCAGCTGATCGATGTTTCTAACTCTCTATCCCTCTCCCTTCCTCTCTGTAAAAAATCAATAAAATATATATTAAAAAAAATAAAATAAAATGGAAAATTAAAAAATAACTATAAATATCCTCCCCAACACCAGCACCAAAAAAGAAAAAAATCAGAATTCCCATTCCCTAAGTATTGCACATAGCAAAATCTAGACAAGACATCTGATTATATAGAAATCTGAATGTTTAGTTACCTCTTACTAGTAACTTGCTTCTCCATTCTTTCTGATCAAATCAGAAAACCTAATTGTCATTGTTATGCCCCCTCCCTCATCTCATTCCCAATTCTTTACCAAGTACTGACTATTCCACCTCTAGAATTGCTCACTCCCTCTTACTCCACCAGCACTCCTTAGTCCAAGCCATCATCATCTCTCTCCTGCACTACTGCAGCAGCCCTTAACTTTGGTCTTCCTGCTTCCATTCTTGGAGGGAGTTAGGGAACAGGGATGAGAAGGGCATTCAGAACTGAGGAAATCTCATGCACAAAGCCATGATTCCATATCACTGTCTGAAGTACCATGGTACACTTTAAGCTGCAAGTAGACCTATTGGGAGAGGGGTGATAATGAAAGGCTATCAAACGTATTGGTTATTGAAAATGTCAAAGCAACGGAACTTGAACAAAAACAATGGCATTCGTTAAGTATCCACTTTGTGCTGGGGACTGGATCAGGCACTGGAGATAAAAAAAGGAACAAAACAGCATCTCTGCTCTCTAAAGAAACTCATATTCTGGTTGTGGGGACACACATACAATATGCAGTGCCATGTTTGGAGTAAAGGAAGAGTCTAACCTGGTTGGGTTGTAGAAAGATGCAAGAAGCCTGAGCTCAGTCTTAAACGATGAGCAGGTGACAGCCAGAAGTTAGGGGTATTTGGGAGGTGAGAATTGTTCACTTGGAATAGCATATGCACATAAACAGATATGGCAGAACATCACGTGGTTGGGAAACTAATTTATGTGGTTAGACCAGCTGTGGGCAAACTACGGCCCGCGGGCCGGATCCGGCCCGTTTGAAATAAATAAAACTAAAAAAAAAAAAAGACCGTACCCTTTTATGTAATGATGTTTACTTTGAATTTATATTAGTTCACACAAACACTCCATCCATGCTTTTGTTCCGGCCCTCCGGTCCAGTTTAAGAACCCATTGTGGCCCTCGAGTCAAAAAGTTTGCCCACCCCTGGGTTAGACTATATAGTTGTGGGCTGAGGTTTTAGGAATAAGAAGAATCTCATGGGAACACACAAAGCTCACAGGAACCAATGTGACACCCAGCCATGCTTCACACAGACTGGAGTACACACACAATTTAGGAATCATTTTGTTGCCTCCTCAACAGCAAGAGTTTGTCCCCAACCATTATGGTGATTTCATTCCTTTTTGTTTCTGTCACCCCGGCCTTTGTCTCCCATTCAATACACGGAGTAGGTTTGGATTACTCATACCTTCTGCTTACCCATTTTCTGTTTACTCAACAGTATCTACATTCGTGTCATCACTTTGTCTTCTCTGCATATCTTCATCTTCTGTCTCTCTCATTGATGTTCCTATCTATCTCCCTTCCTCTCTCAAAATCAATAAAAACAAAATTATTTTTAAAAAAAGAATCCCGCCCTGAGTTTGGCTCATCAGTGGATAGAGCGTCGGCCTGCGGACTGAAAGGTCCCAGGTTCGATTCCGGCCAAGGGCATGTACCTTGGTTGCGGGCACATCCCCAGTAGGAGGTGTGCAGGAGGCAGCTGATCGATATTTCTCTCTCATTGATGTTTCTAATTCTCTATCCCTCTCTCTTCTTCTCTGTGAAAAATCAATAAAATATATTTTTTAAAAAAAGAATCCCTACGAGAAGACTACTAGTCAATTAGTTTTCCCATTTTTTTTCCTATGATTCTTTAAGATTTGAATCCACTGAGTATCAACTTTTTCCTCTTAAGGTGAGACTAACATCTATTCTCTTGGCATGTGATGCAACCTACGTTTTAGATTTTTCCAAGGATTGAAGAAAAGTTTTCACTAGAAGAAGTTCTCTGTCTTACACCACAGAAGTTCTCCCAGCCTACTTTGTGGAAGTAGATTGATCATGCTTCCTTCTCCTGCTTCATTTTTTTAAAAAATTGCAAAAAATGCCTATCACAAGTGGGATATCTCAAGATTTTATTTCTAAACCTGAAACTGAGAAATATTGTCAACCATGCATTCTCTCAGAGCAAAAATGTGGTCTTGGACCACTTTTATGGCACTTATTACAAATGCAAATTTCTGGTGCCTACCCAGATTTACTGAACCAGAATGTCTGAAGAGGGCCAAGGAATGTCATTTTTCCATCGGTTCTTTACCTACATCAATTATAATAAGTATTGTGTTGGTTTTTTCTTTATCCAAGGTTAGAATGAG